GTCCTTTCCTATTTGTTTTTGGCTACATTAAAGCATTTTTTTGAAAATATACAGTAAGGTTCCATATTACCACCCGATTTTCTCTAAGCCTACTTTCGGACTTTTTGTACAAAAGCCTTCAAAAACCATACTTATAATTACACTAGCGAAATATCCAATTAGGAACATTTAGATTACTAGTTATCAGTACTTTTCGCACAAAAAATGTGGGTGTAGTTATGATACCTTGTTTGCAATTCACTAAAATGTAATTGGGGTTCCATAATACCACCTTCTCCTCTATTAATAGAAGTCTTCTTTGCTTTTCATTTAACCATATACTGTATTGGCCCAAATATTATTTTTTTTCCCCGGTTTTAAAGGGAGGAGGAAAAAATCACTCTTGGCCTATATTGAAGTTTGATTAAAGTTCTCTCTGATTTTGATAACTATCTATGGTACACATTATACAGAGTTAAACTAATGCAAAAATTTGGTGCGTCATTGTTTAGCAAAGCTAATCATCAGCCAAGTTGTGACCTGTGCGCACTGCAACTGTGAACTATGCATAGCAATTAGTATATTGGCACGATTGTAAATAATCGATTGCTCAAAACCTAAGCCAACTGAATCTGGTAAATACGATAAAAACAAATCAGTTCTGATAATTTCTACAGAAATTTTATTTTTATCTGAGGAGTCTTTAATAATCAAGCTATTGTCAAAAATTGGGGAAAGGTTGCCAAAAATGTAAAAAGATATTTCTTTTTATAATTGAATGTATCAATATTAAGACAACTGGTTTCACTTGGATAGTCATAAAACTGCAAGTACACTTTCCAGAATACACTTGAAATATGTAAAGAAGCTTACTTTCCTGGTTTGATGTGCCACCAAGTGAAACCAGGAAAACAGTCTTATTTGCATATTTCATACAAAATAATTAATTAAGGTGATTTATTTGAATTTATACTTGAGTCTACTCTGGTTCATTTCACTTTACTGGAATATTACATTATTTTATTACTGTTTTGTTTTATCATCTTAATAAATATATTTCTGCAAATATAAAAAAGGCAAATACCGAAATTTGACTTTTGTTATATTTTAAAAATGCAGATTCATTCTACTATTTTAATTTTGCAGAGCATTGATCATTCTTTATTGTTTGCATTAATTTATCTATTATAGTCAATGCACCCAAATTATATTTAATTTTCATTTAGTTTTTAAAATTATTTAAATTAAATATACAAATCATGTTTGATGTTATAAAACAAACAATTTTGGAATTAAGCTGTAGCTCAAAAAACAATTGTAAATATTGAAATTGTAATAATCTTAGTAGCTGTATTTATTTGAATTTGCTCTGTTTATGTGAATGTACTTTTATTCCAATTTTATTTCTCAATTTCAATGGTGTAGCTAGTCTAGTTATTTCAGTTATGCTCAATATTAACATTCATACAATGCAACTCAAAACTCTAAGGACAGGCATTATTCCCTCTTTTCAGTAGAACTAAACATTAAATGTCTATCAAATTTTAATACAACAGAAATGCAAAGTAGTATTGACAATCGTGAAACAATACATTTTCTTTATTTTTAAGTAATTAAATACAAAAAATGTATATATATATATATAATAAAACTATTTCCTAATAACACTGATTTTTTTTTCTTATAGAATACAAACACATAATATCAGTTGATAGGGAAAAATTATCAAGTTTACTAATAGTGGAAAATAGTATTCGATGTTTAAAAAGATATATTAAACGAGATGTTATAAGTCAAAGAACAGACTTAACTCATGAGTTCATTTTTGAATCTGCAGATAATTTAAACTGAGAATTGATAAAAAATATATATACTTACTTACTACTACATACATCGGAAAACTTATTAAACATGCAAAATGAGATTTAAAATTTGAGATTCAATTAAATTGAAATTTAATATCAAATATTTGATTTGATATCAGATTTCATATTTCATATTACATATTACAAAATGAATTAATGGATAATATTTCGAAAATTTCTTAATTAGAATAAAATAGCAAAATTTGTAATTCCTTCTAATAATTTTGTTAAAAAGTATATATGTAAATTAAATATAGGAATAGTTTTAAAATACCAACGATTAAGAATCGATACTCTACAAAAGTTAAAAAATTGAAATTTAGTTTTTCGTTATCAAACACTGAACGAAGATTTTATTGATGATTTCAAAAATCACCTTTTCTGATGTTATATTCTAAAATATCAAAAATTAGAACGAAACTAAACTTATATTAACGTAAAATCTGTTTATTTTTTCTCCGTGTTTCTCTTTCTGTATTTATTCTGTATTAAAATGACTTTGTTTCGTTTATCACTTTGTCATTTAGGAATGTATACTTGACGCAACGCTGGTTGTTGCTGTACTTATAACTTTCTCTGTAAATAAATTAACGTTGTTTATTTAAATCAAGAATTATTCAGTTTTTCATGTACAATCGCAAAAATCTGTAATTATTGATTTGCCCTAACGTATATTTTGAAATCGACTTGAAGTAAGTAAACAGAATACAAATTATTCTTTATTAAATTGTTCTGTGAAAATTTTCATATTTGAAAATCTGTTATTGTAATCTAACTGGTTTTCTTTATGTAAGTGATAGACTGGCTGTTTTCAATTAAAATAATAAAACACTTGATTTAATGGTGTCCAAAAAAATTCTGACATAAATAAATCTGACTTTATAATTACAGAACTACAGTAATACATTATTGTTTTACTCTAATTTTAAGAAATTCTTTAACTTATGAAATTAAGTAATTGTTCATAGTGTTTTGCAATCTAAGTCGGCATCATAAAATAGTGTTTTTACCGAGTCTCTTCAACTCTGTTTACAGAATTTTATCGGCATTATTCTACACGCGATTAAATTAAATACAAAACACTTCTATATTAGAAATACTTACATTTTCCTTCCAGATGTTTTATGCTTTTCAAAACTCGGCTGAAAATTGTCCATAAAGCATAAAATATTATTGAAAGGACAGCAATTAATACAAGTAGATAAGGACAGACGATTGCTTGAACAACACACATGCCAACAAGAATTAAGTATCCCTAAATTAAAAGATATAAATAGCTTATAAATAGTTCGAGATCTTAAAACTTAAGTTTTATAAGTATAGTATAAAAAGATTTTTACAAGTATTTAAAAGAGTCATCTATTTGTTCAAAACTTTATACTGGTGTGTCACAAGTTTGCAACAATTAGTATTATGTATAACTTTTCTTTTTAGAGATGACATGGCAATTAAAAAGCAAATAACAATTTTAATTATTTTCGCGTTAAAGACCCGCTATCGCTAAAAAGTTGCGAAGTTTTTGGTTTAGATTATTTTGGGGATGCAATATCAGTTTTTTGGGACATTTACTGTTTTTAAACAATAAATAAAGAAAACGACAGTTAGCTGCATCCAGATAAATCTTTGCCACTTATTGTAATGTCTAGATGCAATGCGTTAAAATCTTTAAAAAGGTGTTATGGTATTTCGGGTTTTCTCAATAAAAATTATGATATAATTTAAGTACTAAAATGTTTATTTTCAGATCTCTGATATACATAACAAAACAAAAATGTGTCAAATAACGACTCTTAAGACGTTTAGATTTTTAGTTCAGGGAGTATTAAAATGCCATGAAATGCAAAAAAATTCGGGAGTTGTTTCTGTATGTTTCGATGTGTATGTATGACACTACTTTGTTCATTCTCCTTAAAGCTTAATAACTCCTCTGCTTTTTGTCAGAAATTTTTGAAATTTGCAAGGAAGTTTGTGTATTGAAGGAATGATGCTGCCAATGGCTAAAGTTTGAGGAAAATGGCTGATAAAGGGAGATCGTGTTTTCTACGTCCAGTAGGCTCGCAACTTAATGAAGAGTTTACTCGTTATTAGAATTTAAACTTTAAATAAATGTAATGCATATTTACAAAATTAAAATTTTTGCTATCTTATAATTATAAAAAATATAAAAATTTTAAAACGACATATAATAATACTAGGCAAAAGATGCAAGTATAGATGTTGCCGGAAAAGTTAAGTACCTGTCATTATATTTTTAGAAATCTCAATACCACCTGTAAAAAATAAACCGAGCAACATTAATCCTATGGTTCCAGACTTATGGTTGATTTTATATTATACTTCATTTATCAAATACAGTATTTTACTCTGTGTTTCTTGAAAATTGTTTGAGTAAAACCACGATAAAAATTCCATTTACTTCAACATATATTCCTAAAATCATACAAATCTATTTTAAAGAATAAATTATTATCAAAAGTGCATTAAAGCATTTCTAACTACTAATAGAATGCCTGTTTTCTGTGTTATCAAAAGTGCCAGTTATGGTAGTGTTCAGTCAATGTGAAAATAAATAAAGTTGATATAGAATGCACTTGAGTAATTTTACCATCAGCTGTACACAGAAGTTTTGCTGAACTAAGATCGCATAAGAGAAAAAATTAATATTAGAGTAAATAATGAGAATTACAGAAAATGATTAGAGAAAATGAAATCAAAACATTTTACAACAGTTTAATGTACAGTAACGTTCAGTTTTTAGTAATTTACCAGACTACTGTATCGTAATTATACATACATCTTGCCATGCATACCACAGAATCTCGTACAATATACCATTACGTATTATCATTCATTTCCCACAGCGAAGCTCTTGCGGATGCTTTCCCAATGGCACAGAAAAAGTATGTTTCCTTGCTCGCATTGTATTGTTCCAGTATGAATTAATTTAGCAGCTATTTTTTTGTGTTGTGTCTCTTGTTTCTTTAGTGATCGGTTTCTGTTTAGTCTATTATACAGTGTTTTTCATGTTGTCTATATTCTACTTATATGCAACAATATTGAAAATTTTTTAAATTAAAAAAATTTAGCTACTTTCTCTTAGGTCATTTGTCACTGCTTGTCTGGTTGTTCTTTCTTAGTATTCTTGTTTAGTATAAAGTTAAGTTTAAGTTAGTATAACTAGTTTTAAGTTGGAATTAAAAGAGCTATAATTCAAGTAACTTAAATTTTACTGTATTCATTCTTTCTCCATGTTGTTTCAATTAAATTATTTTGCTTCTTACAGAGCTTTCTAGATTAGTATCTGTATTATTTTAGTAATAGTTTGAAGCCTTTACTTTGGCTTCAAGTATTAACCTTTACTCTGTGTAGCTGTTATGTAGCTCACTTCTTATTTACGATGTATATTACAATTCAACATTTTTTAGACCCATAGACACGCTCATTAACGGTAATTGTACTAGGAATCACCTTATGTACATCGCTCAGTGGGTTTCTTTCTTTTTTTTATCTATTTCCTTACATTTTTCCTCTTCTCCTCTCTTTCCTTCTTTTCTTACGCCGACTAAACACTATGTGTACTGTCGGTGTGCTTCGTTAACATAAAGTATTCAAAATGAACTTACCCTTATCAAAACATAAGTAAAGAAAGGAATCAAATCATCCATGATACTAACATCTTTGGAAAATCGATTCAAGATTTTTCCTGAAAAACATAAAAATGAAAAAAATATTAATTGAATTAAATAATTATGAAAAACAAATTTCGATATAATTATTAATTATAGGGATATCCCACAGTTTATGTCTACAAACAACGTTTTTCGAAATTCTTACAACTAAATTATTTTACATGGTACACTTTTATCCACACAATAATATAAGAAATGGAAAATATGGTTTTCATAGTATGAAGCTACTTAATTTTTCTAAATTAATAACTACATTTACTTTTAATTATCGATAAGCATTGTGCAATGTGACGTGTTTGTTATCCGAACAGTTCCGATTACGAACACCTCACAGAACAAACATAAGAAAAAGCGACGTAAAATAATGAAATCGATTGGTCTTCTGGCAACAACTCGAAATTTTTTGGAGCGCGGAAAACGTCAACATCGGCGCTCTATTTGTAATATACTGCTCGGATAGTTTTTCCAAACTTTGAAACTCTCCCTTGTAATTCCAGTTTTATATTTCTCTGAGAGAAACAATTCTTTTATAGTATTCGCGAGACTGTCGGGCGGGCGCTCGTTAAATTTAGCTTTGGTATTTATTTTCGAAAGGTAAGAGTATAATGTTGCTGGGCAGTATGGCTCGAACAGGTCTACAATAGGCCTCAGTTCAATCTTATCTATGAAAGATACTGTCCAATCAAGAAGACTGAAGCAGCTAAAGAACTAACAAAAATCACACATGAAACATAAAGAACATTGAAGAACTCAAAATGAAACCTGAAACTGATCTGACGATAGAAGAACTTCAAGAACTCTTCAACGAAGAACACGACGAAACTTAACAAGATATGTTTTCTTCTGAAAAAGAGGATTAATGCCGATATCTGCTATTAAACAAATTTTGAAGAAGTGAGAGGATGTCAGAACAACGGTCTTACAATAGCATCCAAACCAGGTTAAGTTTAATATGCTTGCGGATCTCTACAATTATAATGCTATTAGAATTAAAAAGTTTTGTTATAGCGGTTAATTACTTCTGAAAAATCACGAAGAAGAGAGAAAAGCAATCGACATTAGACAGATTCTTTAGCCCCACAAATCGAAAAAACATGACTAATAAAAATTCAATATTGTGTATATATGTATTTTTATTATTACATATAACTAAACAAATGTATATATTTTTTTATTTTTTGGGTCTACGGAACGAATTAATCAAATTTTCTAAAAAACGTATGGTAAATCGATAATCGGTTAACGAACAATACAAGTAGCGTACAAAGTCTTGGAACGGATTATGGTCATTAACCGATCACCCACTGTATTTAACTGTTCACATTGCAGTACAGTAATTTTATGATTGCACTGTAATATACTGTATAAAACTTATAACGAATATCTGTGTTACAATAAATGAGAATATAAACAGAATCCGTAGTTATGTAACGCTGTTGAAAAATTTTTTTTGGTATTTTATTAGAAACTCTTTAACTTAACAAAAATTAACTAAAACATTTTACGTACCAACGGGATTGTTATCCAAAAATGCTATCGGAGTTCGAATGATACAGCGAAACATATTGTTGTGAAGCTTGAAAGAAGCAATTGTAAAAAATTTGTATAACAAAAAACCAGAAGGTAACGACGTTAGAAATACAGCACATGTCAATCCTACATAAACATACATGTCGAAATATTTAGTATAGTAAAAATTTTTGTCTTTAATTTCCTTAAAAAAGCTTGTATTAGATGTCATATTTTCGAGATTCTCTTCATTTAGGCTATAGATTCTAATATCTTGCATCCTGAAAATATTAAATAAAAATTAAACTTTCTGGCATTTTTAAGATGTGTTTGATAGCAAAATACAACTAAACTAATTCAGACTGTTAAATAAAGGTGAAACTGTATATATAAATTATGTTGAAAATCTACCGAATAATAAAGTATTCAGTAGTTGGAATAAAACGGTATATATACATGAAATAATTTTAAAGAAAATATAAGCAGCGTCTTATAATTTATTTTGAAATTTATAGCTGTGATCGTCATCGTTATACGAATGACTTTAATGCAGATGAAAACCATCTTGGAATCATTGAGAAACATTGCCCATACTTTGATATATTCCTACCTGCTAAAAAATCAACGTTGAAATCTACTGCTACAAAGCTTGACAGTGGGACAAGATATCAAGTGAATCAGATAACTTTTTCTAATGTACTTAGTCTACCTGCCTTAATGATGCAGTACAGTAAAAACAAAACTGTTTGTTTGTTAATTTATGGCAACGCAACACTTAAGCGATCTGCCTAGGGGGAATGCCTTTCGGGAAATCGTTTTAAGGGAAACTGGCTCCTATTTAAGCGTTACAGCTGTGAGAAAACTCCTCGCCAACCTGTCTGAGCGAGGATCGAACCCACTACTGAACTCCCAGTGTTCAGGATACAAAGATAGTTTGACCAGTGGTGGGCTCGTAAAAATGCAATTATGTTTGATGTTTAGTGCAAAAATGTTTTAAATATTTTTATCATTCGAAAATATTATTTCAGTAAAGTACTGAAATAAATGTTTTTTCTGCTGACATTGAGTTTCAAGTTTAAATTTAAAAAATAAATTTATTTGTCTAGGATTTATAAATTATTTTATAGTAACTCTTTAAAAAATATGTATATATAAATACTTTTGAAATAATTCATTGTATTGATTATATCTTATATTTGAAAATTTCATTATGACGTTTATTTTGAATGCCACATAATACTGTAAATTGAAATATTCATAAAATTATATATTCATTGCAATTGTTTGGTCATTGATAATACAGTATCTGAAACCAGTGCTAAATGCAATATGGCTTATATAATATAACATTGTTTTAATTAAACATTTTATTTAAAAATCTGTTCATGTCTTAAAGTATGCTAACTTATAATAATATCATACCATTTGATTAGCCAGTAGTCGCTGGCACTTGTAACGGATTGCGATATAATTAGCGTGGATAAAATAACGATCTTGAAGAAAAGTCCTGCTCCGGCATTGACGTATGCTTTAACGACTGAAATTTCTGGTTTCTTAACTCCTGCATTGTCGCGTGGTATTTTGTTATTTTCAGCTTCCTACGAAAAATAATTAAACTGTATATATAATTATTCGTTGAATTTTTCTTAAATCTGAAGCAATAGTATAATATTATTTTCGAACCATAAGAATCTAAGATATAACTTTTCCTAATATAGTAGAACCTCGAAAACTCGGCCTAATGTGGACCGAAGGGTGGCCGAGTTTGTAAAAATGCTGGTTTATCTCAGACGTCGGCTGG